GAGGGTGACCTTTTTTTATTTTCTGATTTGCCTAGAGGCAGTCTTCGTTTATAACTGTTGTCTGAGCTCTTAATTTTTTCAGTATTTATTAAAAAATCTTTAAGTCATGTATTATTTTATTGTTATGATGATGATGATGATGATATGCATGGAATTAGAGTTCGCTAGGATGGACTTAATAGACTTCACAGGAAGTAGAAGGGTGCTGCTGTAGTGTGACGCTCAGAGCCCCATCAGGACTGAAGGACTTGTCTCCCAGCTGCCCAGAAAGGCTTCTGGCAGGAAACCCCAGCTGTCAACTCTCATCAGAATCACTTCAGATAAAGTGTCATCTCAACCATGCTACAACCTCTTCCCAGCATACCTATGTCCACTGACTGGTATATGTGGAGGCACAAAGGTCTGGCCCCCTTGCCAAGCTTCCGAGTTCCCCGTGGAGTTGGTCTGTGTCGAGGCTGCCTCACAGGCCAGCTTCTCCTTCTGCACAGTCCTCCTCCTCCTTTTCCTTCCAGAGCTGGTGATCCTAAGAGCACTTCCTAACAAACTCCTGCAAACTGAATTTCATCTCAGCAGGCCACAGCCTCTGACACTCGCCACTTTCGACACTGGACTGGTCCAGTAGTATATGGACACGAATCTGCATTCTCACTCTGGTTCGATCAGAGGATGCCCAGAGATAACCTATTTCACTCGATCAGAGTATCAACAGTCTTTGAAACTCTCTATTGACCACACCAGGGCTCCCCTTTCTTTGAAATGCCACAGACTTTGTCTTTGTGGTCACATCACTATCAATACACTCAGCCAGGCTAGAAATATGAAACTCATATCTGACATGTCACTCTCCATCTACATTCAGTCACTTATAAAAGTCCTGCTTTGTTATATCCCAAGAACTCCACATGTTCATTCTGTTCTCCCCATCTCCACTCAACACTCTCGCTTAGAACTCTCACCTTGGGTCACTAGGACTGATGTGATCACCTCTAACTAGCTGCTCTGTCTCTGGCCCTGCCTTCCTTAGATCCATTTCCATGGATCACTCATGATTTATTTAAAACAAAAATCTAATCAGGTCCATTCCCTGCTCAAACCCTTCAAAGGTCCAAGCTACTTGATATGGCCCAAAGCCCCATGTGATCAGTCTGTACTTTACATCTCTTACCTCATTGCTTTGCACAGTTCCTATGTCATATTTTTCCTAGGTTATCTCTGTGTATATCCCTATCCTAAAATAGAATTCTTTTGTGGCTGATTTTTACATCTTTGTAGTCTCCATGCCTAGCACAGTGGCTGGGATATGTTATCCCTTAATAAATTTTGAACTGAACTGGGCTTCTACTATTGTTTGCATTTATATGTGCATCTTTAATCTTAAGCTTTTATGTGCCTGTGTCTTGATTCTTTAACCTAGAAGTACATTATTGGGGGTAGTCCTTAGGGCTATTTACAAATATTCCAATTCTCTTCTGGGAACATTGTAGAATTCTATTTCCCTTTATAGTGAGAGATAGTCATGTGATTTGTCCTGGGCAATAAAATATAAACAGAAATAGCATGTGCCATTTCCAAGGTGAAAGCATTTAATCACCCAGTGCAAGATACTGCCACTATCTTCCCCCCTTGCTATATGGAAAACACGAGAAGAAACTGAGCACCCATCAGCCTGGGTTCTTGAGCGACAAGGATAAGCAGAATTTTCTGCTGATCTGTGCATGATGTGTGGCATAAGCAAGATACAAACATTACCAGCCATTGGGATATAGGGATTGTTTATTGCAATCCTGATCGCTCTGTTCCCTAAGGACAGGAACTGTGCCACTTATCTTTGTGCCTCCATAGTGCATATTCAAAACAGAGAAGAATAAAAATATTATGTTTAAATTTCTGATTTTTCCTAGTTCATAATGTCTGATTTCAAATAGTTCTCTCTTATCTGTTCTATCTCATTATTAAAGCACAATTTCTGATCCTTTTTGGAACTATTATGGTTTCTAAAATATATAAATTAAAATGTCTAATCAGTAATCCAATGTTGATCACTCATATAACATTTTGTGTAGAATAAAATGTCTTCCTCTGATGACTGAACAAATCATACAGCACAGCTTTAGGCAGTGCTCTGCGGGGGAGGATATAGGAGGGAGGCGATGGGCACTTGCATCCAGCTCTGAACAGCAAAGCAAGGGGCTTGTAATAATCAGCCTCCTAGGGGATGTGACTGTTGCAGCTCAGGTCTCCTGGTGTCCTCTGCCCCAGCAGGTGGCACAATGGCATGGCAATAAATGTAATACAATTTCCCTCCATTTGCTTTGCTATGCTTATGAAAACCCCTACTTTGGGCATATAATTATGAGAGAAAATAAATTCTCTTTTTATGATCCGTTTTAAACTCCATTGTTAAACAATGAAATATTTAAAAAGGAAAGCGTTTCAACACAGAGCCTCTTCCTGAAAAAAAATGCCTAACAGACTTTCTCTGTAATCCTACAGTAACTGAAAGGCATGCTTTTTCATTGTATACATGAATTATAGATTACTGGTACTTCAATCTTATTTCATGCACGTCGGCAAAGAGCTAGCTACTATATGCTCCAGCTCACTAAGTAAAAAATAAATAAATAAATAAACCCACAATTTTATTATTTTCTTATCCCTATTAGCAGTTCTAACACATCTCTACTACCTCCTCTGGCAGCCACACTTCCAAACACACTCCTTCACAGGAAAAGGTCCAACTAATCATGACCCATCTGTTTAATATCCTAGAAATTAAGATTAAGCTTATATTCACTATCTCTATGGTTATGTATTTCTAATCTCTCCAAATGACATTTTTCACTCAGCATAGCCACTAATAGTATTGGGGAGAGTATAGGGCATACTTACGATGGTAATAGATACTGGTAACATCTTTTAGGAAGTAATTTGACTATATATATCAAAATTCCTCTAAACAGGTTTTCAATTAGAACTATAAGTTCCAATTCTAGGTGTTTGTCCTCATCTGATCAGTAGAAAGTGTATATAATGATTTTTATTGCAGGGATTTTGACACACATATAGATAGAAAAATATCTAGAAGAATGCATACCAAAATATTAATGCTGATTATCTACAGAAAAAAATGAAAAAATCACTAGTGTTTTCTTTTAATTATTTATCATTGTGTCTAAGTTTCTATAACAAACAGCTATTACTTTTGTAACAATGTGTCTTGCTTATATTTTCTTTTTCAGAAAAAGAAAGAACTTTAAAAGCATAGAGATAGATAGTGACTGGAATTTGGGGTTCCTATCTAGAGTTACCCTCAAGTCAAATTTTATTTTAAGTGATTCAACAGGGCAGATGAAATGTGAAAAACAAAATGGTCCGTTCCCTTACACACACAAAAACCTCTTGATTCTTTTCTGGTTACTTTCACCTACACAGAGAATTATTCAAGGAAGATGTTTACAACCCCATTCAAATTCTAGATAATTTTGGCCATGAAGTCATAATTCTCCATAGAAGCACAATGTAACTGTTTCTAAAAATGAAAAAGATACCTGAATAAAATATCGTCATTAGGGAACGCAGGATATAGCAGGTGGTGGAAGAGAAATTGACTCCAACTTTCCCAAGAGCCCCCGAAATAAGAAAGCATCCTTTTCCCTTACATCAGTTCCTGGTGGCACACAGGAAAACAGCAGTAAGTAAGGAATGCTGAGCCTAGACACAAACACCTGAACACCACAGTGGCTTGTGAGGCAGCCAGATTGGCAGGCGCAGGACTGAGGTGGCCACACGCCACAACAGTAAAATGCCCACAACAGTCACACATTTATAATCAGTTAGGAGGCGCTTCCAACCCAGGATAAGGAATTGGCAAGGATTTCAAATGGACCAAACATTTGATATTAGTGTCAACAGCACTAACGTGGCTTCAGCTGGCAGGAGAGAGGGAAACCACGGGCATCAGCATTATTTACTCCAGAGAAACTAGCTGTGAACCATCTGTCCTCTGCCACCACCACTCCCACCGAACGTGGTCCTTTCTATAACTTGCCCTGTTTCTGAGGGCTCCCCACCCCCTAGTCTTGGCCCAAGAATCTCAAGTCCCAATGTTTCCCTGAATACAGAGATGTGGAAAGTTAATTTCAACAGCGCAATTGGAACACACAAAAGATCTCTTAATGCTGCAAAGTATTATTAGTTATCCAGCTGCAAAAATTATTCATTTATCCAACCTTCATTCCAAGACTTAATGCAATGTTTTCTCTATATAATATGGAGGGGGCTGTAGTATACAGCATGGAAAATCAATATTCTTGGGGTTTTGTACTTTAGGGGTCTACAGACTGGTTCAAGGTTGTAAAGTAGAATAAAAAAGCAGACTGAAAGTCAGAGAAAAACAAGTACCACATGATCTCACTCACATGTGGAATTTAATGAACAAAATAAGCTGATGAACAAAATAGATCCAGAGACACAGAAGCATGGAACAGACTGTGGAATCTCAGAGGGAAGGTGAGGGAGGGTGGGGGAGGGGGAGGTGATCAACCAAAGAACTTGTATGCATATATGCATAACCCATGGACACAGACGTAAGGTAGTGAAGGCCTGGGGCAGGTGGGCCAAAAGGGGTCAATGGGAGAAAAAGGGGGACATATGAAATACTTTCAACAATAAAGATTTTTTTTTAAAGCTGACTAAGCAATAGAAAATAGGTTGCAAACAGCAAAGACAAGTGTCCAAAACACCATACATGTGGTGTCAACATTTTTGTCTAGTGGCTTTTTAGGAAAACATTGGCCTTTCAGGAAATTAACTATCCCACTCTGAAAAACCAGAGGAACAGTTATTAGTAAATAGCTCAAGACCAAAGCTGATCTCATCGTGATTACAGTATTATATTTTATCTATATGGATTATAAAGGAGAATATAAAAGTGAGACCCCTCAAGAGAGAAAAACTCAAGAGCTTTTCATTAAAAATAAAAGCAAACCAAACCATGTATACAAAGGTAGTTCAAAATTTATTTATAAATTTGTTTAAAAGAGATTAAAAGATTTATTTTTGTCTTTTACTCATGTTTATACAGTGAATTAAGAAAGTAGGGATTAAAATCCAAAAAAGATGCCAAAGCTTCCCCAAACCTGATCTGAGAATTAGCTACTTAGAGAGACAATCATATAGCACCCACCCATAGCTCCCAGCAACCTAAAAGCATCAAATGATCCTCTCATTTTCTCTCTTATTAACATTGCTGTAATTATACTTCCAATAAGAGGCAAAACCAATTAGAAAAATACTGTAACATTTCACTGACAGTAGAGATTAAATATGAGTTCAATAATCAACTCCTGCAAACACACGTAAACAATGACAGGGAGACCCTGTCATCCCGGAGGCTTAGCTGTGTGGGTGGGGAGCTGAAGCTGAGGTAAAAGCACTGAAGGTGAATAAAATCGAGTTCTAAAAAAGCGTCTCATGGCAGTTTTCAAGGCCAGTTGACAAAGGTGGAATGTAAGTAAACATTTCTCATAAATCCTGAAAGAAAAAGAAAACAAAATTACTACAAGCAGCAAAACAAAATTCAAAGCCTTTGTAACCCACAACAAAATTCCTACGAAGAACACTCTTACTACATCAGGCTTGGGTGACTATTTGTTAATGATTTAAAGTCCCGATGAAATGACTTAATTTTAGAGTCCCATTCATCCAATTCACAAAATAGTCTCTGTCAACAATGTAATGGCTTGTTGAGTGATAGCTCATCGTCTGTGTTCTTAGAGATAGGCTAACATGGGTCCAAATAATAATGTTCACAAACATTGTCACCCACCTCCAGTTACAGCAAGGACAGGATTAATAGTGTGGAGCAGAGCAATTTAAATGGAAAAATATGGAGTATATTTGCATGGTATTAGGCAGTAGGAAGGTGACTTCTAAGAAGACATTGAGAAAGGGGATTGATTAAATGAGTCCCCTCCCTGCCAACTATGTGCAAAGGTCAAGAAATCTCCACCAAGCCATCCAGAGAGTTGGACCAAGTTATAGCTGGGATTCAGACTAGCACTGTTCTAACACTCTGGGACACTAAAATCTCAGGTTGTCTCATAGGTCATGGCAAATATTTAACTGTCCTTGAAGGCAAAGGATTTAGAATATTTATCATATTCAAAAGGGTCTCACCTACTGGTATCAGAGAAAAGATCACTTGAAGTGTTTCTTTAAATGTCCCACCCTAGGTGTATCATGAATACTAATAGAGAACTAAAAAAAAGTGTATTTCTTAATACAAGAGGAATTTTAAATTATCAAATGATAAATATATATTAAGTAATGTGAGAAGAATGTGATTTAAATTTTAAAATATTTCAAAGTAAAGATCAATCTAATTGGTCTACCAACATACATTTATCAGAGGCCTACTGCTTAAGTGTCTATATCAATGATAGCAAACCTATGACACACGTGTCAGAGGTGACAAGCGAACTCAGTTTTTTTTTTGGTTGATTTTTCTTTGTTAAATGGCATTTAAATATATAAAATAAATATCAAAAATATAAACCTTTGTTTTGCTATGGTTGCAAATATCAAAAAATTTCTATATGTGACACAGCACCAGAGTTAAGTTAGGGTTTTTCAAAATGCTGACACGTCAAGCTCAAAAGGTTCGCCATCACTGGTCTATATGATGTTTCAAGAAACTATTTTTTCTTTCCTTGGTTTTCATCATATTTTCTGCCTTCTCCCTTTCCTTTTGTCTTTGTCTTTTTACTGGTTTCATTATTTCCTCCTCTCATTCCTCAGGGAAATTCAGTCATCATCTATAAACTTCTAAAGTAACACACTTTTAATATATTCTACATACTAACCATTTGTTGACTTTTTATTTAAAAACATATTCATTTCTGAGCTCCTATTTACTCTAAAAATTTGGATATATTTTTTTTTTGTATTTCGTAGGCAGATAATTGTATCATCTGTGGTTTATTTTCTTTTATTTTTCTTTTATTTTTGTGGTTTATTTTCTTATTTTATTTTCCACAATTGCTCATAGCACCTTTATTTGTACTAGTCAGCAACTAAAAAACCCATATGTCCTCAAATGGGTGAATGGTTAAACAAACTGTGGTATATCCATATTATGGAATACTACTCACCAATAAAAAGTAATAAACTCTTGAAACATGATACAACTTTGGTGGATTTCCATGGAATTCCACCATGGAAATCAATAATTTTTATTGATTTTAGAGAGGAAGGGAAAGGGGTAGAGAGAGAGAAACATCAATGATGAGAGAGAATACTGATAGGCTGCCTCCTGCATGTCCACTGGGGATTGAGCCTGCAACCCAGGCATGTGCTCTTGGCCAGAATCAAACCTGGAACCCTTCAGTCCACAGGCCAACGCTCTATCCACTGAGCCAAACTGGCTAGGGCTCCATGGAATTATTTCAAGTGAAAGAAAGCCAATCCCCAAATTTACATACTATATGCTTCCATTTATATTAATATTTTTGAAATGATAACTTTTAGAAATGAAGACAGTCTTGTAGTTCCCAGTAGTTGTGTATGGGTACTCATTCTAAAAAAGGAGATAAGTGTGGTTATAAAATGTTAATATTGAGAAAGACTATTGTGTTGATAGAATTGTTTAGAATCTTCCCTACTCTGGTGGATACAGGGACCTACATATGTGATAGAACTAAGAAATAAGTACACACACAAAGAGAGACACACACAACAAAGTAAAACTGGGAAAATCTAAATAAGATCAATGGATATTATTAGTGTCAATATTCTGTATCATCTGTGATTTATAAACTTTTTTCAATCCTTAGTATGATATAAAAATATTATTGATATACTTTATTTAGATTTTTGGTGACTTATGGGTTAAAATTTTTTTTTTCATTCCTAGTTTTCTTGAAGTTTTTACCACAATAAGTATTGAAATTTATCAAATGCTTTCTCAGTAACTATTGATGTGATTGATCATATGGTGTTTTTTCTAATTTATGTGGTGAATTTTTGTTGTTTATTTTATTTTTATATTGTTTAGTTGTTTATGATAAGCTAAGTTTGCATTTTTTAATAAATTCAATTTGATAAGGGCATATTATCCTTTTTAAAAAACTTCACTATTGAATCCATCGAAATTTTGTGATTTTTTAAAATCCATGTTTATAAGTGAGACTGTTCTATCATTTTTTCTGTATAGTCTTTGCCAGAATTTGATTGAAAGTTACATTTACCTGCTTAACCATTTTGGGGAATATTTCCTCCTTTTCATTTATCTGAAAAATCTTTTCAGACATTTGAAATCATCTGTTCCTAGAAAATTTAGTAGAACTGCTATTATATGTCTATTTTTATGGGAAGACAGTAATAAATTAACCTACATAGTGTTTGCATCATTCTGAATTTGCACCAACAATGTGTGAGAGAACAGAATATATTGCCAATCTTTCATTTGGGGAGAGGGGGGGAGTTGCCAAATAATAGATGAGAAATAGTATTATGGTTTAGTTCTTAATTTGTTTTCCCTTTATTATGATAAGTTCACTGAGTGCTTTAATTTCAAAGACTATGTTTTTTGTTCCTAAAAGTTGTTTTGTTCTTTGTTCAAATCTGCTTGGTTGGCATTGTCTCTTGTTTTGACTCATTGTCTTAAATCCAACATTTATTTCATCAAATGTTTAATACATAGCTTTTTAAAATGCAATTTAGTATATCACATCATTTAGTTTGAAATCTTTGTTGTTTTTTTGACCCTCAATCACAGCCACCTGTTTCCTTGCGCATGTGGTAAGTTCTAGTCACCGTTTTATGTTTGGAATACAACCAAAGGGCCCTGCTCTGATGGCATATGGAACATAAATTACCACAGGGAGAGAGTAAGAGTAAGTATCCAACAAACATATAAATTAATGATGTTGGAAATTTATGTTAGAAATGACAGAATGCTATGGGAAAAAGGTGTAAAGGCACAGGTGGCAGCACTAAATAAATGAATAAAGAATCCTCACTGAGGTGGAATTCAAGAAAATAATTGAAGGAGAACAATTAATGTGGATACTTTGGAGAAGAGTGGAGCAGCCAGTGTGAAGGCCATAAGGTGAGAGCACCATGCCCTCAACTTTTCAAAGAACAGCAAGAAGGAAGACTGCCTAGGAAGAATGAGGAAAGGCAGTGTAGGAGAGCCCCAGAGGGTAAAGTGGAGTCTAGATCATGTAGCACCTGGTAGGTTCCTGTAAGGACTTCCGCTTTTATTCCAAGATATTTGGAGAGTCTTGGGAGCCATTGGAGAGCTTTAAGCAGAAGAGTGACGGGATCTGATCTGTTTCAAAGGGGTTATTCTCATATAGAGAACAGACTCTAGATGGTGAAATGTGGAAGCAATGAAACCACCGAGAGACTATTTTAAGACTCTAGATGAGCATGGAGAGAGGTTGGAAGCAGGACGATAGTGGTGAAAGTGGTGAGAAGCTGTTGGGTTGGATATATTTTGAAGGAAGATTCAAGAATATCTCCTGCTGTATCATCTGTGGGGGGGATATGAGAAATGGGCTGCACCACTATGCAAACAGAAAAGCGTACTGATAGAACATTAAGGTAAAGGGATTAAATGTTAAGTTTTAGATATGTTAAGGTTGAAATATATGTTAGATATGCAAGTAGAGATGTTGGGTAGATAAATGGATATATAAGACTAGAGTTTGAAGGAAGAGGTGCAGGCTGGAAATTAAAATTTGGGAGTAATAAGCATGTAGTATGTGTAATATTATGAAAATAAATGAGGCCACCAAGATATTAAATAAACATAAAGTTCAGAAGGTGGTCCACAGTAGATCCCTGAGGCACTCCAATGTTGAGAGGACAAAAAGATGCAAGAATTCAGCAAAGGAGAATGAAAGATTTGGCTGATGAAATAGGTAGGAACCCAGGAGAGCATAGGGTCCCAGAAGCCAAGTAAAGAAAATTTCAGAAAGGAGGAAGTGATTCACCATGACAAATGATGCTGACAGGTCAAAAAATAAAGTTTGAGAAATAAACATTGAATTTTGCAATGTGGACATTGTTAATGACCATGACAAGGGCATTTTTGTTGGACTGGTAAAGTCTAAAACCTGATTAAAGTGGGTATAAGAGAAGTGGGAGGAGAGAAATTAGAGATAGCAATAATAGACACCACTTAAAGTTTTGCTTTAAAGGGGAACAAAGAAATATCAAGAGGAAAGGTGATAACAATATAACGTATTAATGTTTTATGCTGATGGAAATTTTTTGGTTGAGATGGAACACGTGATGACTGTCCCCCAGACAGTGGAGAAGACAGAAACTAGTCCAAAGGAAGGGCAGGCATCCAGGTGGTGATAGATGTGGAGTTAGAGCTGGAAGCCTGAGGAAGTTCTCACCTTCCTGTCACATTTCTTTCAGATGTGGGAAGAGCCAATAACCATTTTGGACTTGGATATGCCTGCCCCACTAAAAAAACATCCATGTGCCCCAACCGGGACTGGGTTACATACCTGTAACCCAGGTATGTGCCCTTGACTGGAATCAAACACACAACCCTTCCTCATGGGTCGGCACTCCACCACTGAGCAACATTGACCAGGGTGTGTTCCTAGCTTTTTAATCAGTGAGGAACTTAAGCAAAGGTTCATAGCTCACTTACAGAAGGCCTATCAATAGTCACTGGTAAGCCCAATGCTTATTCTCTTAGCAGCAGCCCATGCAGGATTAATTTACTTTCCCATCGTCTTCCCCTCAATCTTAGCTATTTTTCTAGGTTCTTTCTAAATTTGGGGAATGGTTGAGTAGAGAATAAAATCTGCAGCAAGTTTCTAAGTCCTATCCAAAATCTGAGTTTCAATCACGTTTCATAACATAAATTCCATGAACGTGGATAATGTCTTAAACTCACTGTGCCCCATTTTCCACATGGTTCCTACTCACATATTTGTAGAAGTCAATAATTTGTAAATTGCAACACATGATGCAAAAACAGTGTGTTTAGATTATTTTCTCTCTTCTATATTACCTCTTTTCTGAATGCTACAGTGAAACACACGAGCATACATTATGGGTAAATAGATACAACCACTATGCATTCTCTGCAAATTTGCCTGATTTCAGTTCTCTTCACTATATATACGTTTGTGAAATCTAGCTATCAATTTTAACTACTAGATGCTTTTTAAGAAAACATGTGTGTAACATTCCTAACAGCTTATCTTTTCAAAATGATCTTTTGTCCATCAGGTATTCATTAAAGAGGGATCCTCTCTAGAGTTTCCAAGTCAGCAAGTGTGCTGGGCTGCATATCTGGCGCTTGGGCCAGTCGGGGCGCTCTGTGCTTTCTGTTCCTAAAACACATAGATAGGAATGTGCTGACATCAGGCCAGGCCTTGAGATATGGTCTCATGGCCCCTTCCCAGTGTGCTGGGCTCTCTGTTCCTAGAACACATAGATAGGAAGGTAGTCATTGTAATGATGCTGTACAGTGTCAGGAACTAAGGTTTTGTAACTTTGTGGTTTTTGCAAATAAAAACGCTGTAACTCCTACAATTAGCACTGCAGTTCAGCCTCTGCTTTGGCAGGGTGCTGTAACTGTAGTCGCTGGCCAGCTTAATAAAGGCTCCTAAATTTTGATCTGAGTCCTGGTGGTCGTCTCCGCAGGTCACCCCATTACAGCAAGCACTTGATTATTTTGCTGTATTTTGCCAGTTTAAAGATTTCTATCTGTTCCTTAAAAAAAAAAATAGATACATATGTACCTGAGCTTCGATTAAATTGTACTTGTAAAGCCTAGTGTAGTTAGTTTTGGTTCTATACACATTGTAAACTCCATAGACATATGTAGTTCAGTTCCAAAGTCCTGGTGCTGGCTCAATAATATATGGTGCACACAAAACACATTAAATACGTATTACAAATGGCAAGGTTTTCTTCACAGAAATCTATAAGGACATTTCATTTTCAAAAAGTGCCTTTTGCTGTAGGGTTTTTAAAAACATCATTTTACAGTGAAAAAAATAGACTTTAGTTTCTTTGATATGCTAGTTTCACTGAAAAAAACTGTATTACTGGAGAATGCTTACTATTTGTATAACCATATTTCAGTTAAAATCTTCCTGAGACAAAAAGTTCATTTGTTTGTGTTGTGGGTCTGGGCCAGGGGTGATAAAAAGCCTGAAGTCCAGGCAATCAGGGTGAGAACAAGGCAGGTGTCATTTTTTATTGTAATTGGCCAGAGCTGAAGTCAGGACTTTCTCCCTCTCTCAGAGGCTATTGTGGAATTTGCAGCAATCACCCTGGCTGACTGCCCATCACACAGCTGAACAGTGCACAAAAAAATATCTGGGGAGAAGGCCACAGCATATTTTTAAAATTCTCATTGTTTTTATCCTTCAAATTTGAAAGATATTTTTAAAGAGAAAACGAAAAACTCACCCAGCTGTTACCACCATTCATATTCCAATAGCCTCCAAAGTGCTCCAGGCCACCTGGTTGACTTCTGCCTTGGAGTCGGTCCAGAAAAGCATTATTTACCCTTTAAAACAATGAAAAATGTGTGTAAGTAAAAAGCCTGCTGCAGGGTTGAGCGATTTTTGAGAGCCTATTGTGCTGTGTGACTGCCCATGGGGATTGCTTCCTCCCTTCAGTTTAGAAGAAATCTACAGAAACTTCTTTTCACATTAACCACATGCCATGCTGTTAACAGCCCTTTGCTGGACCTGGTGCCAGTTGTGGCTCAGGCCAGAGGGACACAGTTCTTAATTTCAGTTTCACTGGTCCATCTTCTACCAGTTCATCAAGATCTCTCTTGGCCCCAGAGACTGAGGAAAGATAGAACTCACAAAAACTAAAACATGAAGATAAATCAAAAATAGCTCTGCGACACAGTTGTTGCAAGAAAGACATCCCTCCCATATGCCCTTACTCCATTGTCAGTCTTGCTAACTTAAATCCCACAAGTGAAAAATAGAAGAAAAATGGGACAAGTATATGGGAAAGTGGGAACCTGAACTTTCAAGAGGGAATGGGTACATCTTTCACTGATGTTCAGACATACTTGCAGCAACCAATTCCAGAAATTAAATTTAACACATAGGAGGCAAAATCATGAAGAAAAGCAAGTGGTTTCCATAAAGGTCGGAATATAAGTTAACTGTAGGGTAATAGTTATATTCTATTTCTGGAGCTGGTTACCTGGTTGTTCACTTTATAAATAATCATTCTAAATATTTGTGTCGTGGACTTGGATATTCCTGCTCTACTAAAAATTTTAATTAACAAAAATTTTAATTAAAAAAGTAAATTAAAGACAACTCATGCTCTAGATTTTCTTCTCAGACCATGCAGCTTCTGTTGCTGTCCGCAGCATGAATGAGCACAGCTATTTTATTCATAAAGACATTACTAAATGAGTATTTTCATATGATAACATGGAAAAGCTCACTGTAAACTCTAAAAGACAAAATATCAACTATTTTCAGAAACTGATTCAGAATATTTTAAAAATGTGGTTGAAGACTCAATCAATTATTGCTAAACTGATTATTAAGTTTATTATTCAGAGATATTTCTTCATGGATTGAATTTGGATCCACACTTAACTAGAATCAATTGAAAGAGAAAATAAGATGTAGAAAATGAATACCCCCCTCCCCCCAATATTTAAGCAGTCAGCGGTATGGAACTAAACCTAAAGAATGAGGATCAAGGTTCCGATAACAAAAAAGAAAAAAAAAGTAATCCTTTCCACCCCTAATCAAATAACTTGCATTTTTACTGGATGCCTATTGAAGATTAATTTCTTAGCAACAGCATTTATTAATGTGACATACTGCTATCTTTAAGATGCTTAAAGCTTTACAACCCAATTAATCCTCAAAAATCCAAAAAAATAACTGGTTATACTAACAACTGGTATTATATAATGTCAGGTTTTTTAATAGAAAGATGTTTAAAGAGAAAAATGAGATTAACCTATAAAAGACTAAACTAATTTGTGGCCTATTTTATAAAAATAGGCAGAAGTAATGGTGTCCCCTTACCCAACAAAATAGTCTAACCAATATATCAGAGTTTTGATGTCTTCTTATAAGCAGAGGAGAATACATAGATTCACATTTGACATTTTACAATTATTTTGACTGTACGACAGAAGCAACATAATCCAGTCAAAAGGATAGGCGCACCATCCACAGTGGCTACAGTATTGGGAGCTTCTATTAATACCTTTTAAAGTCTCATTTACAAAATGAAACTGCCACAGTTAAAAATACACCTTAGTGGTAGGGGAATTTAAACATATAAAAGAAGCTACTAAGTTTCAAAAGAAGAATTTACTCCTTTAAATTCATGAGAGTCTTTGCATTAAATTATTCCAAGACACACAAGCTCACAAGCAATAAACTCCAATAACCCAGGTGCCCCTCAGGAAATCCTAACACAATAATGACAGATATGGTGGCTATTAACACTGTCCCAACACCAACATGATATTTTAATGGGTACTGTATAGAGAATACCTACACTATTAAAAAGTCCTTACTGGTTCTATTTTAAGTTTTTTCCTAATATGTTAGTCAATATAAAATAACTTTATGGCAGTTTTTGTCCAAGCTTTTGTATTCAAGGATGGGTATTTCATTCTCAATACTACAAATGGCCATGCATCATCTCAAAAAATATACTTTCTTCCATGGCAAGCAAATGAAATATAATCTAAATAAACATATAGCTTGAGAGCACAATTCAGCTTTCTAGTGTAAATGTATGCCACCTATCCAGAAAAAAAAAATGGGTATTGTATGTGTACATACACAAATGTGTAGCAGCTGCCATCCTACATAAAAGATAATATGCATTTCAAAACTGCATTCAGTATTACTATAGTGCTTGCCTAAAACATTGCAAGCAATTTATAGGTAATGTTTTTAACCAAAAGATGCTACCCTATGAGCCATTTATACCTCCTGTGCTCATCCTGCTGGGTTCTGATTCTTTCTTCCTCCTGTTGTTGTCGCTTAAATTCCAGTAATTCACTCTAGGAACAAGAAAAGTTTTAAAATATGGTTTTCAATTCACTTGGTTACAAAGAAGACAGCCAAATCAATTACATGTTTAACCTTAGCAGATGCAATATTTCATTTTTGAAACTTTTATTTAAGTACCGTTTCCATGTGAAAGTATTTTCTTATATGACTAGGTAGCAAAAAATAATTATGCTTTAATCAAACAATAGCTCTCCAAGTATAAAATAGTGAAATTAAAAAGCCAAATGTACATGTTTGAGATATTAGATCAAGATATGACAACACACACAGAGGGAATCACAATGTGAGCCAAACTTACCTGTGTCTTACAAAGTAAAAGAAATCAATTTTTTTCCTTAAATGCCATACAATACTATTTATTGGTCATTTCTCTAGCATTTCTTTCCCAACAAATCTGAAGGAACTTACAAATAAATATTGGATTCAATTCTATAGTGCATTCCATTAGTAAAATGTTTTCCATCCTAGAGAGTAATCACTCAACCTATCATTGACAAGTTACTTCTAGTATTAGAACTTTGAACTTTCTGCAGGAGATACTGTGCTTTGAAAAGGAGATCACCTTACTACAACTTAATCTCTAGCTTCTGACATTCTGATTATCCTCTTGAAAAAGGTACAATTTCCAAGCTCAGTTATGTTTACAGTATTAATCGAAAGAACTAGGTGCCAGGATTTCTCTAATACTCAACTACCTACCTCGAGGTAGACTGAGTTTTAACCTCATTTCAAAGAAAAAGGCACAGGGAAGGATTATAAGCTCCTGTCCTATGTTAGTGCCTGAGCCAGAGAGATTGTCTGGTATAGAAAATACTGCCATGTTTTGATAAACATATACCAACACGTATTTTTTAACCTCCAAAATTCCTTGATGAAAAGTATAAAATAAGTTCAAAGTCCAAATTTACATTTTTTTAAAACTTTATTCAGAGATCTTCCAACAGTCTATAGCTCCCAAAATAAAAAATAAAAAAAACTGGTTTCTTATATGGTGATATTACAAATACATTACTCATCAATCCTTAAAGTAGATTATTTAATTCTAATTCCAATATATCACCAACAATAAGGCAAAATTAAAGAGTTTTCTAAATAATTGAATGATATTCATTCAACCATTCCACACACAGTCACGAAATACCAAATGCCAACTCTTGTCCTACGGAGACTTACTTTTTCACAGTAGCTTAAATACTCTTTCATCTTAATTTCTGTCACTATAATATATGTACATAGTTTTAAAAATCTGTCAGGTTACAGTACTACTACAGTCCTCACCCTGGCCCCCACAATCACTTCAGTACTGTGGATGGTTTCATGTTCAATTACCTCTTTAATCGCATGCATATTCTTCTATCTCTTATTTTTCAATTGTATTATCTTTTGAATTCCTACTATAGAAGGAAGATTTATGGCTCTATTACTACCTCCATCTGAACCCCAACTTTCCCTCCCAGTACACCACCATATTCCTTCCTCACCCTTACAATTCTCTCTCTATATATATATTTTTTAATTTACAATGTGGTGGGAGGAGCTCGTCTTTTAGACTTCCAATTCACCCTCCTCTTTTCAATGCCAGCCATCAGAGGTACCAGGTGCCTATAATTCCTGACTTGCCTTGGGATTACTTCTTACAAATGAGTTCTGACTTTTCCTTCTCTAGGTTTCAGCTTCCAAAATTGCTGATATCTTTTCTTTATGGCAGTCTCCTGAACTGCTTGTTCTTATTGGCTTATGCCTTTCTTTCTTATCCTCACCAGAGGATGTTTATTGATTTGAGGTAGGAGGGAAACATTGATGTGAGAGAAAAACATCTATCGGTTGCACACACCCCATCAGAGATCAAACCAGCAACCTAGGTATGTGCCCTGACTGGGAATTAAGCCCACAACCTTTCCCCTGTACTGGAAGATGTGTCAATCAACCCAGCCACGTGAGGCTCAGTGGCTCAGTTACTATTTTAGATAGAGGCTCAAGAAAGATCTAAGGGGGTGGCTAAAGACCCCATATGAACCAGAAAGAGCCAAAGGATAGGAAGAAGCAGTTCACAGCCCTGGATGGTGTGGCTCAATTGGTGGTCCCAGCCACCAGGTCACAGGTTCAATTCCTGATCAGGACACATACCTAGGTTTCAGGTTGTTCCTTGGTTGGAGGTGTGTGCCAGAAGCAACCT